AGAAGGTTTGCTTACTGGAAGCTGACAAAAGCAGGATATTGAATAAACGCTCAGAAATATTCGCGAAATGCTGTCATAGAAATAGTTTTAGCGCGCGCAAATTTGAACGCACGCGAGATGCGTCAGCAAACCGTTAGTTTAGAGCACGTCATTGAATCAACTTCAATCGCCTGAAGATCGCTTCGAAAGAAGCGTGAAACACAGTGTAGCGACAAATATATTTTAAGATTAAAGAATTATTTAAGCTCTATCGTATATTGGTATTGAGCACTCTTCGTTCAATTACGGACAACAAGAATTAATTTATATATATATATATATATATATATATATATATATATATATATATATATATATATATATATATATATATATATATATATATATATATATATATATATATATATATATATATATATAATTCTCTATTTATATATTATATATAATCAAAATCAAATTTTTATAGATAATTCCAAAAGCGACAGCATTTCCAGTACCGTATCCATTAAGTACCTACGTGGTAGAAGTACAAAGCCTTCCATATACAAAACCATACAACAAGGGTGCTGTAGAAAAAATTGTCAAAACTCCAGGTAAGTATTTTTGAAGAGGACAATGAATCGATAATCTAACAACCTTAACAATTATTCATGAACCGAAGTGGAGGTGCAAGATACTGCAAGGATATTCACGGAAATGCGAAACGTTAATGGCAAATTGTTTGAGAACAGGCCACAACAAAAAAATGACCAAAAAAGAATTAATTCATTTTAGAACAATTCTTATTTCAGCTACCGTAATAGTTGTAAACAAAACAGCATTTAAACTTTTTTTATCAATCAAAGAAAACTTTGTGGCTTTCTTCGTGTTTGGCGAAACCCCATGAGCTTCGTTTAGCACAAAAATTTGTTCGTCTGTAATCGCGAAACGAAATTAACTGGAAGGCCATTCTTTTGTCCGGAGGTGCTTGAGCAACCAATCAATTTGCGCGAAAAGCACTATCCACCTCCCGAGTATATACTGACATGTATTACTCCTTAAAGAATTTACAGCTATTTCATTTAAGGTTGTCACAAGCAATAGTCAATTGTATAATCCAAGCGCCAAAACTACAATGGGAATAAGATATTTTATAGAGTAAAATGTACTATAAATCATATACTCTGGGACTGGGAGTAGCCCAAACAAAAAGGAGCTAGGCTATGCATGGCCAATAGGCTATACAGCTAAAAATGCTAAAATTTGATATGTCTATCTTCCTGTTCACGCTTGGCAATCGTTTGAAAAATAGTAACGTAACATATACAATCTGGTTTAGGATGGTGTGATTTAAGAAGTATTGAAGTCTGTTGTGGTAAGTGCATGTAAAATATTTGCTTTATTATAAGCATTGGCGTACGGGGCTGATGCTTTCCGGAGGGGGGGGGGCACTTGAAAGTTTGGCCAAATTTTTATGGAGAACTGTAATGAAATTACCTGAATTTAACTTATTTTTTGATAAATCTGCCCGAATTTTCTTGATTTTTTCTAGCATTTGCCCGAATTTCCATGGCTTTCCAAAAATTTTTTGAGGGAGGGGTCAGTTGCTCCCCCTGTCCCCTGTCTCGTACGCCTATGATTATACAGTATATTTAGTATCGAACTTTCCCTTAGCCTCATTTTAATAATATATTCTTTTATTTTTTATAATGACCAATAACAAGGCTTAAATTTTTAATTTAATTTAATACGACGTTTCGGAGTTTATTCTATCATCAGGTAAAAAACTACAATTTGCGATCTAAACAAGTTAAAACTATAATACAACGTTTGTAACCGTTGCATGCTCGCGTGCAAGGTTGCGCAAGCATATAGATTGCGTGTCCGAGAAAAATTAAATTACAATTAGAATTACAATAATTAGATTAATAAGGACTGCAATTACTATAGTCTGTGTTTATTTCCACTACAAAGTCCAAAATACTCAGCTCTTCATATTTTCCATTCAAATCCGGTTTAAGTTGCTGGATAAACAAAGCTTCCGTAATTTTCCGCTCCAAAGATCCCATTGTTTTTTTACCACTGTGAAGTCGCATGAGATTCAACATGACGTTCAACATGATATTCGATATTGTGTAAATTAACTAAATTCAATCACTCAAAAGTCAAAATGACTAATACAGCCATTTCTTCTCTCCCAAATGAATTAGAAAAAAAACCCATGCAGGTCACATTAGCTAACTAGTACCTTTATGGTTTTCTGCAAAAAACCAACAAAAACGTCTCTCGATCAAGGCACTGCAAAACGATACTTTCCTAACAGCTATCCACACTGCCAATAAATATTAAATACAACTTGCCACGAATTTTAAACTATAAATTTCTAATTAATATGCGCGCTAATTAATTAGTATTCGCTTACAGCTAATACCGTTCAGTTTGCGGCTGAATTTAGATTGTTTCTAGACCTAAGCCACCTAAAGTTCAACAACCAGTAAGTAGAGGAGATAAATTTGTACAAGATATGAAAGTTTAAAAAAATCCTATAGAATAGCAGTGGAGAAATTTATATAGTTGAACTTTCTATTCTTGTCATTGCGTGCACGCTATAATTAGTATTCGCTTACAGCTAATACCGTTCAGTTTGCGGCTGAATTTCGATTGTTTCTAGATCTAAGCTACCTAAGGTTCAACAAATAGTGGATAGAGCGGATAAATTTGCACAAGATATGAAAGTTTTAAAAAATCCTATAGAATAGCAGAGGAGAAATTTATAGTTTAACATGCTATTCTTGTCAGTGCGTGCGCGCTAATTAATTAGTATTCGCTTACAGCTAATACCGTTCAGTTTGCGGTTGAATTTCGATTGTTTCTGGACCTAAGCCACCTAAGGTTTAACAACCAGTGGATACACCAGATAAATTTGTACAAGATAGGAAAGTTTTAAAAAATCGTATCGAATAGGAGCGAATAAATTTATAGTTTAACATGCTATCAGTTGTCAGTGTGTGCGCGCTACTATTAATTCGTATTCGCTTACAGCTAATACCATTCAGTTTGCGGCTGAATTTCGATTGTTTCTAGACCTAAGCCACCTAAAGTTCAAGCACGGCTGTAAATACTCGTTACAATTGTAACGCGTTACTGTGTACTCGTTACATTTGAAGTAATTTTAACCTGTAATTAATTACGTTTTTAGAAATGTAACGAAAAACGTAATTAATTACAAAAGCAAGGAACGTGTTCCTTTTCCAAGGAGCAAATTGAAAATTCTTTTTCTTATTTTGTAAAAACAAGAAATAAAAAATACAGCGTTACAACAAAAATTCCGAAAAATGGCTGAACTAATTTTCAACGGATCACATGACATGATAGCTTACATGAAGTAGTACTATTTATTGCGAAAGTGGAAACCACAATTTGTTCCGAGGCTCCGAAGCTTAAGTTTACATGCTTCGATTTGCATGTCAAATGTTTTAATATATTGAAATATCATCTTGATAAATTTTTGCAAATTTCATAGTTTATACCGTTTTTATTTACAACTACTGTTTAAGGTATTGTCTTATAATATATATATACAGTATAGTAACAATTTGCCGGCAGTGACGTAGCCAGCTCGATAAGTGAGGGGGACGTATTCATATATTCGTGTTTGCATTATTAATTTCTTTTGAAATTAATTGTTTTTGCGGTCTGTGAATACGAATATCTGAATATGTCACCCCACTTATCGAGCTGGCTACGCCACTGTTTGCCGGTAAAGGAATTTGTAATTGCGGTGCCCAAAGTTTGGCACCGCATTATATTCTGCCTGTGAGTTTGTCCGCTTGTTTGTTAGTTTGTTCGCATCAACACGTTTCCTTAATCGCCTAGTAAAAATTCCTTGCACGTGCTCGAAATTTATTCATTTGTGCATTTTATCTTGTACTCTCAGGATCGACTGTTTGCTAGGCGTTATCTCTAGTTTTATGGGCCAAACAAGAACAACAATACCACTGTTCGAATCAGCGTGAAAAGTTGTATTTATAGATGGAAGATTGATTTCAATATTGATTTCTATTCTAGCGATTTATGGCCTTTTAAAGGCTTTGAAATAATCCTTCACGTTTTCCGAATTCCTTTTTTCGAGGAAAGTTTTCTTTTCTATTTTAATCTCGGATTCTCGCGATAGACAAATGCTGCGCCTTATGTCTGGTCTTATACGACCAATAAGGACAATAAGGCCGTTCGATTCAGCGTAAAGCCTAGTTTCCATTTGGTCGTTAGTTGTCGCTGGCACGACAAGTGGCTGATGTAATAGAGTGTCAACAAAAACTCTGCAATCATTAAGACTGATTTGCATATCACACAAAAAGACTATATATTATATTGGACTATTTCACATCTACCGCTTGTCGTGCCAGCGACAACTAACGACCAAATGGAAACTAGGCTTAATTGTACTTATGGATGTCAAATGTATTACTAAACAACAGAATTCTAGCGATTTATGGCCTTTGAAAGTCGAGCGAGATTGCATAATTTGTCGACAAATCGCTCAAAATTATTAAACTAATTAAAAATGCAGTACGTTCGATTCTTGATAACTTTCGTATCGTTGGTTTTCTCGTTTTCGGACGTTTTTTCCCTTATTTTGATAGCATTTTGAGCCCAAACTATTTTATTTTGAAGGTTTTAAAGTGCAGTTTTAATAAGCGAAATTGTATTGTTGGCTAAATCGTTCAAAATTATTAAACTAACTAAAAATGCAGTACGTTTGACCCTTGATAACTTTAGTATAGTTGGTTTTGCCTTTTCAGCCCTATACCATATAGGGCTGTATATAGGGATGTATATTCATCTCACTTTTCTCTTCATTTTGATAGTACTTTGAGCCCAAAATATTTCATTTTGAAGGTTTTAAAGCGCAGTTTTGATCCTAATGTATGGACCAACTGGCGGTCGGCAGGAAAATGTAGCGTACCTATACTAATTATAACTTTATTTGTAGGCGGAAACGCCGGAAATTTTATTTGTAGGCGGGCACCGCATTTTAGTACTGTGTCTGGTTAATTCCTTTTTCCGGAGTAATTTTTTCATTGTACTTAATTACATTTTAGAACAAGTAATTGTAATCAGGAATTTATTACATTTTAAAGCAAGTAATTGTAATTGGAATTAATTCCTTTTTCAGCGGTAAGTTTTCAGCCCTGAGTTTAAGAACCAATAGATAGAGGAGATAAATTTGTACAAGATATCAAAGTTTAAAAAAATCCTATTGAATAGCAGTGGATAAATTTGTAGTTTAAAATTCGTGGTAAGTTGTATTTAATATTTATTGGCAGTGTGGATAGCTGTTAGGAAAGTATCGTCTTGCAGTGCCTTGAGAGACGTTTTGTTGTTTTTTTTTGCAGAAACCATAAAGGTACTAGTTAGCTAATATGACCTGCATGGTTTTTTGGGTTTTTTTTTCTAATTCATTTGGGAGAGACAACCATGACAACTATAACGAATAATGGTAACACTAAATAGCCAAAAATATCGCAGTTTTTCGAGTTTTTTTCTAAAATGAGTTCGGTAGCCCCAATTTTTTTCTCCAATAAATCAGTTACGTTAGTGTTTCAGGGTACCTTACCGAACTCGTTTTGGAAATAATCACGGTTTTATTCCGCGCGGCCAAAGTTTTTCACACTCTGCAAGATCAATGAATGTCAATGTGCGTACATGTTTTGCAGGGGCATCTCCAGAAAAACACGCACAAAAAGGTTTTTAGTCTCGTCGAAATATCAAATATATATTGTGTTTTCTTGCTTAGAAATGCAAATATAGTTAGTTTTGCATGCTAACTCGGGATATATAACGCCAAGAAAACAGGCGATTGTAGGTCGTTTGGTATAAGATATGTCGGCGACATGTATGAACTTTTTGGCTTTTCTACATAGTTTTATATTCGATCGTTTTCAGTCGTAACTTGTATGTTTTCATGTTGTTGTTGACAAGTTAAAGCAGTTTGAGCCGGCGCATGATGCTGTTTCACTGAATTTCTTTGCTGTTAGTAACACTTTGATACATTTACCAGTTGTAAGTACAAAAAAACTCTGGATATGAACTTATAAATCGCCAAATATTAGAGTAAAAAACTTTTCGCCGAGAAAAGTTGAAAGTTGAACATTGCATTTTTTACCTTAAAATGTCTTCTAAAAAGACTAGTTATTCAATGTTCAGAGCTAAATCAGAACGAAGTTTGTTCTTTAAGAACAAATGAGAACAAGGAAGACTCAAAACATCAAAATAAACATGACTTGTGGTTCGGATTTTAGACTGAGAAAGTTGTATTTATTTTTGCATATATTTTTAACATTTTCGCGCAAAAATTCAAGATTATAGGTACCAGTCCGCCAATGATGAAAGTGTATGTAGCCACCTTAATTTAACGGTTTTAGATCGCAAATTGTAGTTTTTTACCTGATGATGGAGTAAACTCCGAAACGTATTAAAAAATTAAATTAAAAATTTAAGCCGTTGATTATAAGTTCGGTTTCTCTTCTTTAGCGGTTTTATCCAATAATTTACATTATAAAAAGAATCAAAGACGGATACAGTCTTGATTATTAAAATTCTTTTTTGTACGTCTCAAATTTTAGAATCATATGTAAATGCTAGCCTCAGTAATCACAGCAGAACAAGTTTGTCTTGGACAACATTTTATCCTCCAAGTTTGAATGTCATTGTTGATGCTTTCATTATCGTATGGACAAGTCTACCTCTTGGAATCTGTAAGGAAAACTTCGTCGTCTTAAAATCAGTAAGCTACATACAGTTATATTTCTATACTATACCTTGAGTCCTATAGACTGAATGACTCAACTGACTCTCACTCATTGAATTTTAAGGAAACTGTAACTGTAACTACATACATTAAGCCATGTGTTTATTTGAAGTCAAATTGGGGCTCTTTTTAAAATTATTGTAGTGTGTTTGTTTACGCCTGATTAGAACCGAAAGCCAGGGGGGTGATTGCAGTTGTAATTTTAGATTTGTTGCAATGCGATAAAAATTGTGGAGGAGCTAGGGGCTGCGTGGAAAACTGTCAAGATACAGTGGCAAGATTCTTGTGCGCATCTACTCATAGAATCTACTGAACGTTGTTCTAACATAAACCTCTGCATGAATATGTCTCCCACTTAATTAAATTGTCATGCAAATATTCTGAAATCAATACTTAACACTTTTAAAATGTGATTTAATATCTTTTTATTTTTCTTTCTACTTTTTTCTTTTTCTTTCAAGTGCGTTCACAATGCATGCAGAGAGTGCCGTTTTAAAACCCAAAATTCGATTTTTATTCCGGGGTAGCATTCCCCCGGATACTTCTTTAATTGTGACGAACAGATTAATATGTTGCCCCTCAAAATATAATACAGGCTGCGCCACGCACTGGAGAACGTGAAATTTCCTCCAAAATTGTCTTTTAGATAAAACAAGCCGTAAATGAATTGTTTCACCCAAAAGCTTCAATTCCAAAATTTGAAACCTGATCTTTTGTGTAGTTTTAAGTATTGCACATCCAGTTAGCAAATGCAAAAACATCTGAAGAAACAGTTTTCTTTTGCAAATATGCAAAAATTTGGGATTACCAAATAAAAGATCACTTTCGACTCCTCAAAAAACATTTTGACGATCTTAAAATTTGTTTTGCACTAAAAAGCAGGTATTGTTGTTGTTTGTAAATTTTTATATTTTTATTTTAGACACAATCAAACTATACATTCCCAAATCTGACACATGAATGTGGACGAAATTACACGATCCAAGTATGTGTATTTGTAATTTATATGGATTGATATATTTAGATATTTTTATTCCTCAATTTACTCTAACAAAATATAATAATGATTTGCCCGTCGCGTTTTAAGAATCGATTTCGAGTTTCAAACAGTTTTCCTCTTTGTTCTCTCGTAAGTGGTATACTCGTAAGATTTGTTCTCATGTTGGGCATTTTGGGCCACCTTTCTGTATTAATGCATGGTTAGGATGATATGATCGTTATTTTATCTTGTACAAAAGTATCAAGTTATATTAAATTTGACATAGTAATTCCAAGAAATCTGACGGGGTCGGTGTAATGGGACACTTATGCTATATTTTAACAGATGTTTTTGCTTTTTAGCTGGTAGTGAGGTATGCTAGTTACGCTGGTGATGTAGGGTGTAACACGTCACAACCTGAAGTATTATTCTACATTCCACCAGGTATTTCCATCTCATATTTTGGCACGTTTGATATACATAGGCGTAAACTGTACCTGATTTAAGTTAGGGCAAACATATATACATGCACACATGCAAACTTGTTACAACCAGGAACAATTAAGCTGCAGTGCGAGCACAAAACTTGTAAACAGAGTTGTATGACAACTTAATTGTTTGCAGACATGTAACAACTTGTTCGTTTTTACGTGTGTATAGAAAGCTAGCCCTAGTAATATGCCTAGACGTTTTCCAAGATAACATCGCATTCTCGTTCCTGGACTTTTGCTGCACGGTTTTAAGAACATTTTCCGAATTGTATGAAATATGGTAAAAAAAATCCAAATGTCAAGAGCGATGCATTGTTGAATCAACAACCTTGGTCTGTCATTATATATGCAAAAACGACGAAAAAATAAATTAAACACACGGTAAACTATTGTTGGAGAATGGTTCGTGGTTAAGTGAAACAATTAATACATTAATCATTATTATACTCTAAAACAATGTCAATGGTCAACCCAAGGACTCACAAGGCCTTATGTTTTCATATTGTGTGGGTTTACATGAGATTCGCCAGAAGAGACTAAATATCCTGGTGGTGATAATCGCCAATAGGGCCCTGCAGAAAGGGTAGAGACCTCCTCTGACAAAAAACAAAACTAAGGGGTGATAATTCTCTTGGTCTTGCATTAAATAGCCTGCAGCTATGGGCCTTTGGGCATTGGGAACACTTCATCCCCGAACCGAAATCTATTTACTATTTACATATTTACATATTTACATATAATGACAATGTTCAATAAGAAAATTGTTTGATTGTCCTTCTTGGATAGTCCTTGCATAACATTAGTTAATATACATACAGTCCGCCAAAGCAAGAAGTCAATCACAACACGTAACATAAATGTGTGGTTGGTTGGTTGGTTGGTTGGTTGGTTGGTTGGTTGGTTGGTTGGTTGGTTGGTTGGTTGGTTGGTTGGTTGGTTGGTTGGTTGGTTGGTTGGTTGGTTGGTTGGTTGGTTGGTTGGTTGGTTGGTTGGTTGGTTGGTTGGTTGGTTGGTTGTTTGGTTGGTTGGTTGGTTGGTTGGTTGGTTGGTTGGTTGGTTGGTTGGTTGGTTGGTTGGTTGGTTGGTTGGTTGGTTGGTTGGTTGGTTGGTTGGTTGGTTGGTTGGTCGGTTGGTTGGTTGGTTGGTTGGTTGGTTGGTTGGTTGGTTGGTTGGTTGGTTGGTTGGTTGGTTGGTTGGTTGGTTGGTTGGTTGGTTGGTTGGTTGAACAACACTCACTCGCCATATGATGTAACAATCTGCTTGCCACTTGCTATATCTGCATATGGTGGATATATGTTCTGCTAAAAACTCGAAAAGATCCGTCTTGTTGCCATCCACTCTGACGAAGCTTTCCAATTTCTTGGAAGTTCGTTGCTGGATTGTACTCATCTTCGAATACCCGTCCCCCTCTTGCTTCTAGTCAAGGCCATGAGACTGTTGTTAATATATCTGTCCCAAATAACATCGACGCGGCTGGAATACTGTAATTGCGACTCGATGTAAGGACCAATGGATTTTTCTGCGTACCGCTGGAATGCCCGTGCAGTTCCACTATTAATCATATTTACAATAGCGGAACCATCAATAATAGTTGCATCAACATAACTCGGTGCCTCCGTGTTTGACTGATGGTGAGGCTCTAAGCAGTCGATCAAATCTGTCTTGTTTCCCGGAAGAAGAGGCTTTCCAACGTTGGACAAAGACGGAGGGCACGGTTGATTCTCGTGCTGGAAAAATTCGAACAAATCCACTTCTCTTGTTCGGCAGGCGATGATGTAAAGTCGTGAGAAAAGAGCGCAATCGCTCTTAAGGCATGTCAACTGATGCTTGATAGCGCTTATGTTGCTGCGCGCCATGATGCTTCATTCTGATGAGTTCACCCCTTTTCTTCAAGTCTACGTTAAGTTCGAATTCGTTTATCATTCTGGAAATTTCTGGACCTGAAACCATCCAGCGACGTAGTGCTCCTGGATTCTCAGTTAGGATTATCTCCTTTCACTATTGCATTGTTCTGCTCGTGAGCCTGGTCTATTAGCCAAACCTAAGACTGAATATCTTAAAAAAAGTCTTAGTTATAGAGGAGCGAAATTGTGGAACAGCCTTTCTGATGAAGCAAGAAACAAACATACTCTTGCTTCGTTTAATTCATGTATACGACACCTGGCCAATTAATTAATTAATTAATAAAATAATTACGTTAATTTAAAATATTGAACAGTACTAACATTAATTTAATTTGTAAATAATTATATACTAGTTGTATTTGTAAATGTATTGCAATTGTTGTTAACTGTAATGTAATGTAATGTATGACCATAATTTGTATCAATTGTATTTTTTAACTATTTAAATCTACGCCCCCCTTGGAAATCAGCCTTCGCTGTAGGGGTTAGCGTAGTTAAATAAAGTTTTACCTACCTACCTACCTACCTATTGCCGTTGCCGAAAAAGGATTCCCAGTCTTGTTGATTGTGAAACTACCATTTTGGAATTCTGTATGTACTTCTGGGTTGATATCTTTTAACATACACATACCGTGAATATGAACTGCTGACCATTTGGCATATTTTGAATGGTCAAAAGAAAAGAACCAAGGCATCCCCTTTCTCAGTGTATCAACGTAAAGTTGGAAATCAGGTTGGCGAATGGATCGTACAAGTGCCAAAAGCAATAGTTCCAGCCGTAAGGTCATGTACCAAAACTGAAATTGTGGAACTAACTTCATCGAATTAGAGCACCAATCGTCGAACGAAAGCACATCTTCTGCTGTCGCCTGTTGTTTGAGACAATCTTCATAAGCTTTACGCAACAAGATGTAAAGACTGCTTACGGTTACCTGATGTGCATTTCGAGTGCGTACTATATTTGAAGCTTTAATGAAAGATTCGGCTGTGCCACACGTGATGCAACTTTTGTTTCGGTTAGAGCGAAATTCCAACCACTCCCATTCAGCCACTGACCAAGCACTTCGCGGAAACCCATTTCAATGTGTAGACCACCAAACATCACCATAAAGCGTTTCTCTTCCTAAAGGTCCGGCCAATTCCACTGGATTTGTTTTGCAACTGCAAACAAAGGTTGATCCATTGCTATCAAAGGTACCTGACGAGGATTCAGACTGTCAACAGCTAGTTTTACTGCATCCATAGAGTGACGGATAATCGCAACAGATTTTGAATTATCTGGGAAAAGAGGTAACAGTGAAGAAATGGCCACTGGAGAATCGAACTCTTGTAACTTCGAATGATATGCGGCCCACGAGAATGACTCATCACATGTCAAGGTTTCTATTGACTTAATGGTATTGTTAACATTGTCAATCTAATGGAATTTTTCCTCCATAGCATGTTATATTGTTGATCCATCTCCACACGATCTCCTTTCACTTCGCATTGTATTTCAGAAACTGGAGGATTTTGATTATGAAGAAACGCTGGACGAAAATATGTGTATTGGATTCGGGTAATGGTTCTATCCCTTTTCCAATCGATGTAAACACTGTAGGACAACTGCACTTCGTTCAACACCAGGGTGTTTCGTAGAAATTGGTTGAAACAACGAAATTCCTGTACCATGAAACGAATCGCGTGCAGTTGTGGAACTTGGATTGTGATGTATGTTATCGATAGCAGCCGCTGTGAACAATCCCTTGCGCCAATTTACAGGACAAACTACTCCGTCTTGTTCATAAGAACTCAATCATACGATATCGAAAGACCAATGTGAAAGGGATTTTGAACGAGTTAGCAACTACGAGTCTTAGCGTGCACGGACAGACCAACGTATATTGGCAGTGTCGTTTCACGAGACACACTGTGGCGTTGATGCTTGCTTGATCAACTGTGCAATGCTTGCAGCTGTTTGAGAGGTTTTCGAGCATTCTGATTGACTTTCCATGTTGGGTCCGAAAAAGATCGTGTTCACTATGGAAAGAAGTAGTGCTGGTACCGAGTTGACTTGACAATCCTGGGAAAACGATCAATTAAAACTATTATTCACCTTAAACATTGCTTTCCTTACAACATTTGCTGCTCTTGCAAGATGCATCCCACCGGGCACACGACGTCGTTTCAACGTTGAAATTTGGTAGAAAAAAGGTTGCGACGTCGACATCCTAACGTTGTTTCAACGTAGCTCTGACGTTGTTTTACAAACATTGGTTCAACAGCAGCCAACAGACGTTGAATTAACGTTCATTCATGGTTAAATGTACGACGTCGATTTGTGAACCAATCTCAACGTTGTTTTAACGTGGATTCAACGTTGAATTATGGTTGACGAGATTGGCAACCTAATTCCAACATTGTTTCAACGTCGAAACAGTAACGTCGATCCAATTTGCATAGTCAAACCTTTTTCAACGTCTATCCAACGTCTGGAAGGTCATTTCCAACGTTGATTCAACGTTGGATAAACGTCATTTTGCCCGCTGGGATATGGCTTTGTCGTCACAGCATTCCTGATGTGCTTTTTTGAGTGTCTTTCTACCTCATCTCTATAAGATAGTAGAATATCATGCATCTGTTTATGATACGTTCTTTTAATCTGGTTGCGTGGACGCGGTTTGCAATAACTCCAAGTTGCTGTAAACGAGATGTGTACATACTGGCTAAATCAGCTAACTTTAAAATGGGCAAAGCATCTTTCTCTGATCGAGCTTCTTCAATATAAATTATTAGTTCCGCTAAAGCAATGCCTTCCAGGGAAACAGCATCGTCTTCCTTCCCTTCCTTAGTTGTCGTTCTTGCCCTGTTATATAATGACACCAAGCATGCTGGATGATACTTGGCCTCTACAAAGCTCGGATAAAACAATGTTCACTTGTCATCATACTATACTTGACCTCAAGAATGCTTTTGGAGAAGTTCGTCATAACTTAATCCAACCTGTCCTTAGCTATCACATCCCTAATCACATGAATAATTTAATAAAAGGCTTATACACTGATTTTAAAACTTCCGTAGTACTTCAGAGTTCCGATTTAATTTGTGTTTCAACATCCTTCCAACTCCTTAACTCATATCGATCCGTGTTACTCGATTTCCGTAATATATGACGGGAAGAATGAATATTACAGAACTCTGCGAGTACTTGTAGTAGAAATACGAAGATACCACCAACAATCCACTTGAAAGATTCCATGAAATTGAACGATGTAAAATAGCCATAAATTGTAAAACTAGCCATACTCGAACACACTAAACTAACCATACCATACTATATACAATATACTCGAAGAATGTAAGCAATGACTAAAAGAAACTAACGGAGATCTATTTAAACTAGAAAATTATGATTTTGTAAATGAAAACAGGTCAACTAAAAGTGGAGGAGGAGTTGGCATTTAAAATGTCGCAAATGAATTGAAATATGGGAAAATGTACTTTGTGAAAAAAACACGACAGAGTCCTACAACAAATTTTTCAACTTATTTTCAATAGCTTATGAAAAAACTTTCCATTGACAAAGAAAGTAGCGAAAAGAAAGATTGACAAAACTCGAAGCCCATGGATGACAAGATGTATTGCAAAATCAGTTAAACAAAAGAGCCAATTATATAAAAGATACCTCCAATACCCTACAGGAAAAAACGAAAAATATATACAAAAAATATAAAAATAAATTAAATCATGTGATAAAAGCGGCAAAAAATATTATGAAGAACAGTTAATAAATTATAAACATGATACAAAAGTATTATGGAAAACATAAAGGAAATTATGAACCGAAATAAGACAAATGTTACCAAAAGAATTTAATGGAAATAGCTCTGGAGAAAAGATTACTGATTCAAACACAATAGAAAATAGATTCAATGACTATTTTGTAAATATTGGCCCAGGACTAGCAAAAAAACTCCCGAATTCCAAAACAACCTTTGATAAATTTCTCACTACTAGCTATAAAAATAGCTTCTTTATTAGTCCAATAACTAAATATGAATTAGAAAATGAGATAAACAATTTGAATGCCAAAAAAGCTCTTGCTATGATGGTATAAGCTCACAGGTAATCAAAGCGATTGCTGCAAAAATTTCTGAACCACTTTCACACATATTTAACTTGACTTTTCTTTCTGAAACTATTCGTGATGATCTAAAAATAGCTCTAGTTACCCCTATTTTCAAAGCAAACGAAAATAATGAATTTAAGAATTATCAACACATATCTGTTCTCACTTGTTTTCCTGAATTGTTAGAAAAGCTTATGTATAAGAGAATAATTAACCACATAAAAAAAATATTACAAGATTTCTTAAAGAATAGAAAACAAATTGTTAAATACAACCAAATTAAATCAAAAGAAATGGTAATTAAGAGTGGTATCCCACAGGGGTCAATTCTTGGACCAATTCTATTTCTGCTTTATATAAATTACATTGAAAATTGCAGCAAATTAATTTCATTTATCTTATTTGCAGATGACACTAATATATTTTATAGTAACAAACATTTAGTAATGTTATACAAACAGAAAATGATAAAGTTGTTGAATGGTTAAATGTGAATAAATTATCTCTAAATACTACACAACCAAAAGTAACTTTATTCAGATATCCAAATAAAAAACCAAGTCAAACCATAATGGTAAAAATATTGAACAAGTTAAAAGAACAACCTTCCTTGGTATTATCATTGACGAATGTTTGACCTGGTAAGATCATATAGCTAAGGATTCGCAAGGTCAAATTGCAACTACACGCGTGAGTGTGACGTCATCCCGGCTACAGGAGCTTCTTATTGGCCAATTATTGCGCAATGTACGCAAGTGCGAGTAAAACCCGACATCTTGAAAAATTCAAAATAAATATTTCTACTCGCCGTATTCAAACAAAATTTTGTACACGAAAGCGCTTG